TTCCTTTTCTCTACTGCTTGCATTAGAGTAGTGTAGCATGTTACTGTTTCCGGTTAATCCTATTCTGCTGCATAGCCTGTCATTGTTGCTACAGTTGTTACCCTTACCTGCAATCCTAAATGCTTAGTATAGGATGCTAGCATTCCATTAGTGCCCCTACATTCTTGTCCGTCCTCTATGCTATATTATCGGGTCGTGGTCACTTCGGGAGGTGATCACGGGTATACACTTGTATACATTTTATGATACTTATGGTGACTAAAGTCGTGTCGGCTCGTAGAGTACCCGCAAGTGATTCCGATGTGGGGGCTGAAAGGATAGGTGGTTCCATCCCGGTAGTGGTGGGCCTGGGTTCCCGACGGCCTCCGACTTTTACTTTGTGGCGGAGCGACAGGGCAGGTTGAGACCACCTAGGAGAGAGGTGGGCCTGGCCCTGGTCGGGGTTCGTGGTTACTTTAAAATAACATGTTTAACGAGATCTTGGTATTTGATCTGAGTCTGGCCACTGGCCTATACGCACTAACCAACTACGCGGGAACAGTTATGGGCACTCGACATCGTGGCATCAGTCGAAGCCTTCGTGACGTCAGCGACTGAGTGGCGCGCGCCGGGTTGGACCGTGTAACGCAACTTTGTATGTAATGGAGGTTGCTAGGTCTGCTCACCGGCCGCCCTCGCAACGTGCAGGTGTGCAATGGGCGATGGGCCCAGACCCCTACGCTATAGGATTTAGACCGGTGTGCTGACCTCTCTATTGTGCCTAGGTAGGGTTGCGATGTGTTGATCTTCCGAGGCCGGGCATGACCTAGAAAAGTGTGTCCGGCCAAAGGGGATCAAGCGTGTTGGGAAATGTGGTGCACCCCTACAGGGAAGTTTATCTATTCGAATAGCCGTGTCCCTCGGTAAAAGGATGACCCAGAGTTGTACCTCGACCTTATGACAACTAGAACCGGATACTTAATAAAACACACCCTTTCAAGTACTAGATACACCCGGTGATCGCTCTCTCACAGGGCGACGAGGAAAGGATCGCTGAGTAGGATTATGCTATACGATGCTACTTGGTGAACTTACCATCTACTCTCTTCTATATGCTTCAAGATGGAGGCTGCCAGAAGCGTAGTCTTCGATAGGACTAGCTATTCCCCACTTATTCTGGTATTCTACAGTTCAGTCCACAGATACTACCCATTTCATTGATACCAATGCATATGTAGTGTACATCCTTACTTGTGAGTACTTTGGATGAGTACTCACGGCTGCTTTGCTACTTCTTTTTCCCTTTTCCCGGTTATTGTGATCATATGATGGAGTCCAGGAGCCAGAGGATCCCGAGGATAATTCTACGTGGAGTTCGACTTCAGGGAGTAGTTAGGAGGTCCTAGGCAGGAGGCCTTGCCTTTTCGATCGTTGCTACTTTTGTGCTAGCCTTCTTAAAGCATACTTGTTTAACTTATGTCTGTACTCAGATATTGTTGCTTCTGCTGACTCATCTATGATCGAACTCTTGTATTTGAGCCCTCGAGGCCCCTGGCTTGTAATATAAAGCTTGTATTATTTTATTTGTGTCCAGAGTTATGTTGTGATATCTTCTCGTGAGTCCTTAATCTTGATCGTACACATTTGCGTGTATGATTAGTGTATGATTGAATCGAGGACGTCACACTAGTTTTCTTCTGTTTTAATTTTTCACGCCACCTAGTACCCAAAATGGAGCTAAGGATGTCTTGTAATTAACCATGTAATTACTGTATAGTTTGCTACTTTATTTCAACCTCGCAGTAGGAGACTTTCCTACTGTTTCACGATCAAAAAACAATCTTCAAAACATAAGGAGTCAAATTATTGCACCAACAGTTGGTGATGATGACAGTTTCGAATTCCCCTTGTCGAGGTGATGTCGCGCTAACCTGGGCTCTACCCCGTTAAGCCACGTTCCAAATAACGTGTTGACTGAACTCGGTGGAGAAATATTAAAAGCAATATGGACTGTCCTCCATAAAACTTTAGCTAGTGGGCAATCAAGAAACAGGTGTTTAATCGTTTCATCCTGATCACAGAAACTACACCTAGTAGGTCATGTCCAATTACGCTTTGTCAAGTTGTCCTTGGTTAAAATAACTTGTTTGTGTAGAAACCACATAAACACTTTAATTTTCAAAGGAATTTTGACAGCCCACACATATTTGGAACTAGGAATCGAGTTTGAATTGATCACATCAACATACATTGATTTAACTGTACATTCTCCCGACCTAGTGAGCTTCCAGTGTACATTGTCGGGTTGTTGGGAAAGTTGAACATCCATGAGTCTCCTTACTAGATGTAGCCATTCTTCCCAACGATTGCCCACTAACGCCCGTCTGAACTGAATATTAAGGGGGATTGATTGAAATACGGTTGCAACAAAAACATCACGTCGTTGAACAATACGATACAACGACGGGTATTGGATGGCTAGGGGTACCTCTCCGAGCCAAGTATCCTCTCAGAATCTCGTACTGGCTCCGTCACCAACAATAAACTTTGTCCTATTAAACAAGGAAAGCTTTACTTTCATAAGCCCTTTCCAAAAGGGTGAATCCGTCAGTCGTACTGTGACCTGAGACAAAGTTTTGGTTTGAAGATACTTACTACGAAGGATTTGTGCCCAAGTGACGTCAGTTCCGCTAGATAACTTCCACAACCACTTGCTGAGAAGACACCTGTTCTTGACTTCAAGATTCTCAATTTCAAGACCCCTTGAATATGGGGAATAACAACCCGTGAGGGTGCTGTTGGAGCACCTGCCAAGCTTCTCAGCGCTGCTCCGCCACCATGGCTCATGTGCTTCTACTCAACAGCACGTTGTGAACATCGAACAGTGCACCAATGGTGACTTGGGTTTGTTCATCATGTGCAATCTTATATTCTTTTATCAGCTTGGAAGAGAACTTCCTCAACATCTTCCATTATTCGACCGTGTGATTTTATTTACAAAGTAAGGTGAAAGGCTATTTCGAGAGTATTATTCACAAATGGGGGTGGATGATAGCTCTCAGTTCTAATGGAGAACTCGAGACAAGAGCCATCAATCCCAATTTGATAACGCACAAGTCCAGCAATCATAGGACTACCTCTGCTGACACCTCCGAGTTCAGGAAGTGCAGCCTAGTGCTGCGCAGGTAAGGTGTTGGTCTCGATTACTGCTCAGTAGAAAAGCGGACATTGCATCGGGACCTAAAGCAGGGAGGGCGAGCTTCGTCATGCGTGTGGCTGACAATTGAAATTTTCATGTTCAGTCATCACGGTTTTTTTTTTGCAGGTTAGTTCAATTATCCCATTGCTGACACATGAAGCAATGTGGGTCCGTAGACATCGCTGCTACGAACCCCGAAGCATTGCTCACGTCACACGGAGGATTTGATTTAGAAAAACGCTCAGATCAAAGTAGTTGGGACGACTAGGAGGTGAGCTTAACGCGAGTTACAGAGAAACTCTAGCCCTACCCTAAAATTCAACTCCCTGTTCCATCTTCCCAAATAACTCCTCTAATTTTGAAGTCAAATTTCTATGCACCTCCTTTCCGTAAATTTAACTCCCTGTCCCTCATTCACCAAAATATTTCTCAAACCCAACCCAAATCTTTCGCCTCCTTGGTTCAGCTTTCTCTCCAACCATGACCTCAGCGGCTTGGTTTGGAGTTTCCCATAGAATTGCCAACAGCGAGACGAGAAATCACATGTATGTGCTACAAAGACTGTGCTAGACATGCTAGCACAACACAAGGGGCATCAATTATTTACGAAAAGTCTAACGCCCACACGTGTGGGTGTTCCCCAACTCGCCCACACGTCTGGATCGTCGTCCAGTGCCTTTTGCACGAATCTTGGCATGAAAAGGTTGATTTTTTGTGCCACGTAGGATGGGGCTGGTGTGTGGGCGTTGGAAAGTTTGCCCACACGCCCGCACCACGCTGTTTGTCAGCTGCGTTGTGTGGGCGAACTAGTTCCTGCCCACACAGCCACCACCTAGGTCATGCGCGTGTGGGCGAACTGTTTTTCACCCACACGACACTCCTATGTTGTGGACGGCAACTGCAGTTATGCGAACGTGGCAACTCGGTACACACACGGCAACTGTGATTCTCTGCTACACGACAACTGCAGTTACGTGAACGTGGCAACTCGGTACACACACATGGCAACTGTGATTCTTTGCTACACGGCAACTGCAGTTGCGCGTACGTGGCAACCAGATAAACACACATGGCAACTGTGATTAACAATACATGGCAACTATGGTTGGACCACACGTGGCAACTAGGTAAACACATATGACAACTACTGTTTTGATCATATGTGGCAAGTAGGGGCTAAGTATAGAT